GTGAGTGATTACGCCTGATGAAGTCAGGAAAACATGACTCACCTGACAGATGAGGTCGGTTCGGTGACTTGTCGCTGTACGCGAGCTATGTGGATGTGGTTGAGCTCCTTGGCCTTAGTCTGGGCCTCCAGGTGGATGTCCGGGGATGTGTGGCTGATCTTCATTGCTGACTCTGGGAGCACCGTTGGCGCATTGGGATCCTTCTTGAAGTCCTCGCTGTATTCACGCTCCAGGCCCTCCACCTCGGTCAGGACCGGCTGCTGCTCGCCCTGCTGGTCCTTTAGGCCGGGCAAGAAGCGATCTCGCCATGGCACCCAAAACAACTTCCATGACACGAACAGGGAGACGGCAAACAGCGCCAGGCCACATGTGGTGGTCAAGAGGGACAACAGGCTCACAGACACATCTGGAGCAATAACCAAGAGAGAAAGTCGGTCACTGGATGGTGTTCAAAACTTTCAAGATATTTATAGACTATAAATATATAGTATTTTGGTATTTTTTTTAAAGTCTGGCTCCAGCTGAAAAAAAAAACAATTAACAAATTTAACAGATCAAGCATTCATATATTCCTGAAATCAAGAGAGGACATCAGAAAACTAGCCAATCAGAAAGGCTCTCTGGCTGTGAATCATTTTGCACATTTATGTTTGCTGACAACATGTATTTGGAGAGTGAGAGTCTGTGGTTTGAAATTAGCAAAATGGCTAGAATCACTTACATTACCTTTTCTGAGGTGCTGTTTCCTAGACTATACGCCCGTTCGCACAAAGGATGATAATTGTAAAAATAATGATACGCTTTAATAATCTTTCTAATTCTATGAGAATAGAGACAACAAAGAGAAACAATGCTGCTGGGATCAGTTTCAGAACGATTCTTTCCTCCTGATAAACGATATAAACATTACCTATTATTTTCTTTCTACCTGGTCTCATGGCAAAAACCTGGGGGCACTTTTTCGCGAGATGCGAAATACGTAACAATAAGTACATATCACTGCAGTTTCCAAAAGAAATGAACACTAAAGGCAGTAAAACTCAGACACCTTTTATTCCTTTTCACACAAATGTACAGAATTTCGATTAATAGTGTAATTTTCGCACAATTACTTGAAGAATATTATGCTATGACTTCAAAACAATTTTAATATGTTGGGAGATTTGAAAACTGATGCTTTTGAATGTTAGCATCGCACATATCCAGCTTCATATCTAGGAGTTTTCATAGACGGTAGGTTTGTTTGGTAGCTCAGGGAGTACGGAGACATACTTGAGAGGTGAGGAGCTCTGGTTCGAATCCCGTGTAACTACGGTTTGACAAAACTGTTCAAATCTGTATTTAAGGAAGTTCAAATGGAACGGTTGCATCAACAAATGCGTTTTTATATCAGTTTTGCATTTGTTAACAATATTGGCTAGGTTTAGGGTTGGGTTTGGCATAGGCAGGGCCGCATTAACCATTGGGCTAGGCGGGGCTGAAGCCCCGGGGCCCGAGCAAGGAGGGGGCCCGTGATTGGCTGTGGAGTAGATTGACGGACATCGGTAGCACCGATCGCAAAAAACCCACCACACCCCTCACTTTTTAGCACTATTATTTAGTGGAGTTTTCCGTAAATTCCATGCATTATCATTAGAGATTAAAACATCACATTTGAATTTGTTTTACCAATCAAATGCATTTATTATATATTTTACTTCTGAACAAACTGTGTACGTAGCCTATCTATCAGGTGATCACTGTGCCTAATGTCTGCATTCACCTCTCTTCACTTCATTCTGGTATAATCTAGAAATGGTCATGCAGAGAACAAACTTCGATAAGTAAAAATGTCAACTATTCTAAAAAAAAAAAAAAAATATACAAAAAATAGTGAGAAAAAAAATGAGGAGAGAGGGGACACATGGGTTAGTCACTAAATCCACGGCTAGTTTATTTTACTAAAGCTGATGATGAAGTGGGAGTTGTGGAACAGCAAATGGACTGGACATATGGAGCAGATAAAAACACAGCGTCATTGTTAGAAAACACTCTCTGTCTTTTTGATGCCGTACCCCTCCTTTCTCACTCTTTCTCTCTCCTTCTCTGAATCACCCCTCCTCTATCTGTTCTCTCTCTCTCTTGTATGGTGTTTGAATGTCTCTTACTCAATATTCAAGGTAAAGGAGTTTGTGCTGATTTATAAGGGGGGTTCAGCCTCCGTCGCCAGGAAGTCTATTCCTTATAGGGATATGTTTTTCTGTATATGTGGCAATTTTATACAAAACACATGTTCTTGGGAAAAACATCCTGTATGGGTATGTCCCCCTATCCTCATTGGTTAAGAGGGTAAAAACTCCCCTCGACATGCCTATATAAGATCTGTATTTCTGTGAATAAATTGAAGTATTTGAGAATACCATTTGAATGTGTGTTTTCTTACTTCCCGGCCGTATTTATACACTTGGAGAGACTGAGAAGATTTCACGGTGGCAAAGAGATATCGAGGGACCAAATTGTTATTTATTAACAGTCATCATCCCCACAGATTTTTAGGTTAGTTTGATTATTAACTTGATAGATGTAGCTATAGTGCTTTTTGTGTTTGAACAAACTCTATAGGGCTAGTATATTCACTTATGGGTTGAGGAATTTATTTTGCGCGTCATGATGTAAGCTTTTCATTTAAACGCATTTTAAGCATTTTGGTTTAAAAACTCATTTAACTGTTCAGGGACATTAAGCAGTGGGACAGAATTCATTTTGGCAAATGCGCGCGTTAAGACGGTTTCTGATACTTGCTTGTACAGTGCCTGACTAAACTAAGAGTTATTTTTCACGCCTTGTGTTTAAATGTTTGAATACACATAGCTATGTGTCAAAATGCCTGTCTCCTCGTCAACACAGTTATTTGTGTCTTAAATGAACGTTAATAGTTAAAGATAAAGCATGTGCACTAGTTGGCTATTATGCCATCCTGGCATTATACGATGAGATTTTAAAGGGATATTCACCCAAAAATTTAAATACTGTCATCATTTACTCAGTTTCAAGTTGTTCTGAACCTGTATGAATTTCGTTGTTCTCCTCAACATAAAAGAAGATATTTTGAAGAATATTCGTAACCACCAGAAAGTTTCTGTTCCCTGTTGACTCCAATAGTGTTTTTTTCCCTCTCTCTCCATACTATGGATGTCATGGGGGTTTGGTTACCAGTAGGCTATCGTTCCAAATACATACGTTTGCATTCAACAGCAGAATGAAACTCATTCAGGTTTAGAACAACAACAATATAACTTTAATTTTTGGGTGAACTATTCCTCCAAAGCAGCCTAATATAGCTGCTCTTTATTAGTCAATAATGTCAATTAAACATTAGAAAGAAAATCACTGTAAAATACATTTATATTTGTAAAATAATGTATATTGAATTTATACAGTGACGACTATTCAGTCTATTTCTAGTCTATTTATTTTATACATTATATTTCTTATTCAGTGCTTTAAGTGTTTGTAGGTCAATTTCTTTGTTCTATTGTAATTCATGACCGTTTACTTGTCTTCAGTAAGTTTGTTTTTACATAGGCTAGTATTTTTTTTTTTTTTTTGAGATATTGGAATTGGTAACAAGAATTATGAAACTTTGATTGGAAAAAAATCCTATGTTAAGCTATATCATTATTGTGACGGGGGGGCCCTGCAGGAAATCATAGCCCCAGGGCCCATTGAGGTCTTAATGCGGCCCTTGGCGTAGGGCATATTTCCAACACGATAGAGCATTAACTTTTAGCTACAGTCCCCGGATATTTGAATTCTGAACCGCCACAATACATACCTGAAGCAACGTAATAAAAACACTGCAATACGTACCTATATCAACGTAATAAAAACGTATCAGGGTTCACGTATTGAACCCGTGTTTTAGCACCACTCAGTGGCAAAACGTGCAGCAAGGTACGTAAAAACGGTGTTGCAGAAAAGTACCCAGAGGTACGTATTTTTATGAGACCAGGTTAGTTTCTTTCCATAGGAGATGCCCTCTGGAGGTACCATTTGTTGGCCACAGAAGTCATTACGGTTGTCAAATTTTAGAAAAAGCACCATTATAAAACTGACTTATTCAATTGTGAGGTGCAAATTACTGTAATTTATTTTTTTATTTGGATTGTAGTGGTTACTTTTCTGAAAAGATGACGTATGCGGTCAACAAATGCAGCCTCCGGAGGGTGCAGTCTTTGAAAAGAGGCACAGCAACTGACAGCCAATCAGATTCCACCTGCAAGCATCTAAAGCGACAGACATCATAAATGCAGTGCACACTTATAATAAACAGATCATCGTGCTATGGTGTGGATGCTAATATAGTTATCATTCTAGGTGTGAATGGGCCAATAATTTTACACTAATTAACAAATTTAATTAAAAGAAATTAAATGACTGGACTAGTCTGCAAACTTAGCCTATATTTTTGAACAATTGGTTTTATGCAGCTTATAAGTTTTTGTTTGATCAGGCATGACAAATGGCAACCCCTGGGATCAAAGGTGATCAATCATGTTTGTTAGACAAATGGAAGTACTGCTTTAAAGTTAAAAGTTCCAATTGCCTTTTTTTTTTTTTACAGAGGCATCACCTTTTTGTTTACTACTGAATGTGCATTAGCCTGACTAGCTGAGAAATACAGTTTTTTTTGTGTAATGTGAGCTAAAAAAATAATTTACGACAGCATAGTTGTCAGTTTTCATTCCTGATTTTAAATATCTATTAAAAGAAAACAAACATTTGAAAGATTTAGCGCTTTCTCCTTTCAAATATCGAAGAGCTGCACTTGTATAACTGGAAATTACATTTCCAAAATGGCTGCTGAGTGAACTTGCCATAAAAGGAAGTTTGATTTAAAAGGAGTCAAATACAATGAAGCTTGTTCACTCAATGTGGATATTTCTTTGTTTTCAGGCATTAAAAGCAATCATTCAGAAAGATCAGTGCATATCTTTGGAAACATCTTCATGTTGCATCTGTGTTGGTTACAAATATGGAAACTAAAGATTGTGTCTACAATTCCACAAGACACTAAACTCATTTCTAAGCTCTGACATCACATTATTAACTTATCCAACACAAGATTAATGACACTGGCTTAAAGTGAATTTGTTTACCATCACTCTCCCCAAAAAAAAAATTTAAAAAAAGAGATTGCATTCTCCTTTCTCCCAGTCTGTTTTGTCCTTTGAGCAAAGATGGAACTTACTTTTACATATAAACAGAGGAACGTGAGCCTTCCAGCTGAGGTAAACACACCTGAATGTCTACAAGAAAGGTCGTGACACTTGCCAGAGAACGCAAGCCATTTGATTTAAGGTATCAGGTGGATTAGAGCCAGACCTTCAAGACAAACGGCCTCTCCTATCTCAATTTGCTTATGTGGATATTTCTTTGTTTTCAGGCATTAAAAGCAATCATTCAGAAAGATCAGTGCATATCTTTGGAAACATCTTCATGTTGCATCTGTGTTGGTTACAAATATGGAAACTAAAGATTGTGTCTACAATTCCACAAGACACTAAACTCATTTCTAAGCTCTGACATCACATTATTAACTTATCCAACACAAGATTAATGACACTGGCTTAAAGTGAATTTGTTTACCATCACTCTCCCCAAAAAAAAAATTTAAAAAAAGAGATTGCATTCTCCTTTCTCCCAGTCTGTTTTGTCCTTTGAGCAAAGATGAACTTACTTTTACATATAAACAGAGGAACGTGAGCCTTCCAGCTGAGGTAAACACACCTGAATGTCTACAAGAAAGGTCGTGACACTTGCCAGAGAACGCAAGCCATTTGATTTAAGGTATCAGGTGGATTAGAGCCAGACCTTCAAGACAAACGGCCTCTCCCATCTCAATTTGCTTGTTCATTTTAAAGTACATTCCCAGAGATCATGTTGTTATGCATCTTTTTAAGCAGGTGTCTGTTTGAGCATCAGCAGGTGTAACATAAATCCAGACACATGTGGGTATTTGTTCACATATGAACACAAAAACACCATTTAATCACGCACCGTGTATTATGAGCATGCATATGCATGTAGATAGTTCGAAAGGCCATATTCACTGAGCTCAACCTCTCACAACGTCTATTTTTATTTCTGCTTCTGTAATTCCAGGTGGCAGACCGCAGATGCTAGCAGTTGTTAGCCAATCAGAATGAAGCTGGAAGACGGTTTGCAAATTTGATGGCAAGACACAGTTTTTTCCACCGCAGGGAAGAAAAGTGTTTATAGGTTGACCAATCGAAGACTTTTAATGACAGTCCAGATGTCAACGGTAGTAGAAACTATTGCTATGAATAAATATGACTCACATAATACACAACCTTTACAGTCAATAGCCCTTCACTAGCACATATTATCAGCATTGCTCATGGACGTGTCATAAACTTGTGTTTATGTGTTTTAAAGCCTGTGTGAGAATGAGACACTGTCTTTCCTGTGCTTGGGCTGTCAGTTACAGAAACACCTGTCAATATGTGCCCACATGTTGCCTGAACTGTCTATAAGTCATCCGTTACAGTGATGTGTTATTAACCTCTCAAAGTGCCAGGTTCCCTTGGGTTTCATTACAAAAGGCTTTCCACCATACAGGCACTTTGCAGCGACACATGTGAATCCCCATCAAGCTAAGAGAATATTTACTGGGTTCCTCTGAACTGAGCTGTTCCCTTTCATTAAATTCTTGTACAATGCATCTTGAGGGACCAAATTACTATGAATCGTTCTCCTATGAGGTTTGAAGGCCTCGTGTTAACGGATGTCAATGCAGGATAATCGCAAAGGAGAAAGTGTACAGAGTAGCATGGTGGGGTGGAATCTTAATGGCTTCCTGTCGACCGCTCAGTGTCTCCGAGGATGAAGATGATAGCATCTGAGGAGAGCCTAGGAACTATGAAGCTTAGGTTAAGTGAAGCTAATGTTTAGTTAAGCCCATATACTTCATACTGAGTCAAGCAATGCTCTATTTCTGTCATTGATGAAAGGTTGTTTTGGGGATTCACAAGTTTCCTGTGAAGCATTCTAGGAACACTGAATGCCTGCATAATCATTTTATGCTTAATTTAACTTCTGAATGCATAAACCTACAAAAAAAGGTTATTAATCTTATATTATATAGAATATTAGTGTTAAAATTACACTGCATCTGATATGCTGCAGCATTAAAATGGAATGAATGTAGGCTGCATTTTCAAATGGTAAAATACAGGACAGCTCTAAATAGGTCATTAATACTGGACTGTGGGGAATGAGGATTGGGGCTGGTGTATGTGTGTGTATACTCGTCCTGACTACACTAATTATAATAACAATAATAATAATAGTAATAATATTAGGGCTGTGCAATTAATCGCATGCGATTGTCATGCGCATCTCGTCAGTAAAGGCGGTTCTGTGATTAGTAGTAAATCTCCATCACCTGCTTTCAGATGGAGCGGCATTTAATACACAGAGCCGTAGTTCACTGACAATTAGGCAATATCACGTTCATTGTCACAGAACCGCCTTTACTGATCGGCTGCACATCCATGATGCGAATCTCCCGTTCCACCACATCCCAAAGGTGCTCTATTGGATTGAGATCTGGTGACTGTGGAGGCCATTTGAATAAAGTGAAACCAGTCTGAGATGATTTGAACTTTGTGACATGGTGCATTATCCTGCTGGAAGTAGCCATCAGAAGATGGGTACACTGTAGTCATAAAGGGATAGACATGGTCAGCAACAATACTCAGGTAGGCTGTGGCGTTTAAACGATTCTCAATTGGTACTATGGGGCCCAAAGTGTGCCAAGAATATATCCCCCCACACCATTACACCACCACCACCAGCCTGAACCGTTGAGACAAGGCAGGATGGATCCATGCTTTCATGTTCTTTACGCCAAATTCTGACCCTACCATCTGAATGTTGCATCAGAAATCGAGACTCATCAGACCAGGCAACGTTTTTCCAATCTTCTGTTGTCCAATTTTGGTGAGCCTGTGCGAATTGTAGCCTCTGTTTCCTGTTCTTAGCTGACAGGAGAGGCACCCGGTGTGGTCTTCTGCTGCTGTAGCCCATCTCCTTCAGGGTTCGACATGTTGTGTGTTCAGAGATGGTATTCTGCATACCTTGGTTGTAACGAGTAGTTATTTGAGTTACTGTTGCCTTTCTATCATCTCTAACCAGTCTGCCCATTCTCCTCTGACATCAACAAGGCATTTTCGTCCACACAACTGCCGCTCACTGGATATTTTCTCTTTTTCGGACCATTCTCTGTAAACCCAAGAGATGGTTCTGCGTGAAAATCCCAGTAGATCAGCAGTTTTTGAAATACTCAGACCAGCCCGTCTGGCACCAACAACCATTCCACGTTCAAAGTCACTTAAATCCCCTTTCTTCCCCATTCTGATGCTCGGTTTGAACTTCAGCAAGTCGTCTTCACCACATGAGCGCTCATATATATATTTAAAAATACATAATTTTACAATTACATTAATTATGGAGAAAGGGGGGAGAAAATCACACTTATTCCTATTTTGCTAATCAGTAACGTATACATTGAAATCAATTCATTAAAAAAACTGACTTAAGTCTGCAAAAATTAAATAAAAACAGTGTAGAAATAAGTAGAAAAAAAATCTAGTAACCTGAATTGTGTAAATAAGACTTTGACAGCAATAGTTGCGTTTTTTAATATCAGCGGTAATCTTAAAGCTGCAGTCCATAACTTTTTTTGGTTAAAAATGATCTGAAATCAATATTTGAGCAAGTACATAACCAGCCAGTGTTCAAAACTATCGCCTTACTTTAGCCCGATTCACAAGGGTTAGTTTATAATAATGTTTTCTAATTTGAGTGGTACGGGTAGGTTTTCGCGGGAAATTCGAGCATGGCACTGCGTCATTACGTCACGTCTGTAAACATAAAGAAGTTGTCCCGGCTACTAGGCTATCGCATGTGAGGATCCTGCAGGTGGCGGATTGTTTATAGCCTTTTCTCACAGCAGCCAGAATAATTACATGTATAATTTTGATGGCGGATTGTAAGGATTATGCGTTTATGAAACACATGGGAATGAAATTAAATTATATTGCAGTTATAAATGTGTTTCTGGTTACAGATAGCCTCGGATTACAAAGATTTGTATTTTAAAGAAAACCAGTTCGAAGGGAGCATAATTAGCTTTTTGGGTTAAAATAATTTCTTAATATGAAATTCGAAGAGTATGACAATTAGATTAAACTGTGCAGAAATTGAAATCTACACGCTAATACACACTACTCATAGTCACCAATGCTGATGTTGTTAACATGAATCATTTGAGAATAAAGTATAACAATAATAATAATTTGAATGGTTTGATGTGATATGAGCTAACTGATAGAGATTTATGGTAATGCTTTTTTCCTCAGTTGGTCAGAACAAATGTGGCAGACTTACTTGTTCAGATGGCAATATACGGTGAAAATTCTTATTTGGGTCATATTCCAAGACGTAGGCTAGAATATGTGATTGCGAAGTACAATAAATATCCACACCGGTGCAGTGACTGACTGCCACACATACTCTTCAGAACATTAGATTCATCCAAGCTGGAGCCCTGCCAACTCACAACCTACACAAGCTAAATAATTCAGCACACAGCTGTAATTCCAGGTTTTCAAACAGAGATAGCGACAAAGAGGCAAAATTTTCGGACTGCAGCTTTAATAAAAACGTTTATTTTAGTTTGTTTTAGGTAATTTAGGCTATTGGGTGTGGTTACTTTAATGACAACAAACTCCATCAATGCTAGCTGCTAATTAGCCGAACGCATTAATTAAATTTACAACGACATTTGCTTAAAACGCTTCTAATAACTTTCTAGCAAATAAAAATAGCTGAAAGTGCTATTGAACAAGTTTAAGGATCGTATGTAGTTTGAGAGCAGCTGAACGCAGTTTAAATGTGATTAGATTTGTTACGACACACAAAACATTAATAACCCTGAAAACATAATGTTTTAAAAGGGAATTAAACAATATCCTTACCGGAGTCCGAATATCTCGGTCTCCCGAGATCGCGAAAATAGTAGGTTAAATCCAAACAGTTTTCATCGTGCACCTCTCCTCTCGAGCACAGATCGGACAGAAGCTCCAGCGCCTTTCCACAAATCTCATCCTCTCTGTCTGCAGGCATTTCCCACCAGCATCCTTCTGAATGAAGACTCCTATAACGCCTGTCGAGACACTGCTGACCGCCACTTCCAGCTTCTGACAGCGCTCTTCATTCTCGCCCAGCACAATCCCATAAGGAAAGTTGAATTGAACAGTGTCCAGTGGTGTTCAGATCAAGCCCACAAGTTTGCACACATGTGAATGGCTCTAGTTGAGCGCATAGCGCTCCGTGACACTGATTGAATTCACTCAGCTGGGCTACACCCGAAGAAAACGCCAAGTGTCGGTGCTGAATTGCGTCTTCATGAATGAAAATCTGTTGGCTGGCTCGCATCTCCCTCAGTACAAGCCTTCTGGGATCCCTTGTCTTCTGCCAATCTAAAACTGCTCCTCCCACACCAGCTTTGCTCTTCTCCACACCAGACTTCTATTACAGGATCATTTGGCTACAAAATCCCACGTGTGCTCCTCAAATCCATAATAATTCAATTTGGAGATAAATTAAAGAATGAGAAAACAGAAAAAAAATCTGTCAAAATGATTTCAGAGAGCAACGTTTTTGTTAAACAATGATATAACAGTTGCAAAAACAGACGAAATACAAATAAAAAGGTTTTGAAACGTAAATTTGGTTGTCCTTGTTGTTAAATTTACGATTAAAAACACATAGTACACATGTACTTGTCGTAGAACTTGAAATTTATAGGCTATTTAATAGGCTATATATAGGCTATTGCTTCATATAGGCTGAATATATATGAATGTATAGACCTATATATAAATATAGCTATATACATTTTATATAGTATTCATTTTTGTGGCATTTTTACATACATTTTTTAGTTAAAATTACGATAATTTTTAATTTGAGTAGGCAATTTTTTAATGTAGGCTAATCTGCAATTTATATAGATAGATATAGATATAGATAGATTGACTGATTGATAGACAGACAGATAGATAGATAGATGCAGCTATATATATATATATATATATATATATATATTTTTTTTTTTTACATAAATACTGTAGGCCTATGCTTTTAATGTAGACTGATTAATTGAAAAGAACTGGTTCGAAAGAGTAATTTGTTCGCGAATCAGGCATCACAGCTTTGAATTTGATGCAAATATTATAATATTAATCAAATGTAAATAAAATAAAATATATAATTTGATGTTTAATTTTTGATTTATTTTGATTTATTTAGACATTTTTTGAAAAATAACAAAAGTAGCCTATAAGATCAGCCCTCGAACAAAGGACTGCTGTAGGATAACTAAACAAAACAAAGTACACAATAATGAGTAGAATAAAATAATAATTTAACAGGTTTGAGAAGGATGAATGAACTGAGCTTCAAAGCTGAATCAAAAATATAATCAGTTATGTAAGCCACCATCATTTGTCTTATAGTACACATTCAATTAGAGCCCTGCATTTTAGCCCGGGCCCGACTTATTTACGCCCCTAGCTGCAGACCAATTTTCAGGTCATAGACCACATGCGGGCCGTTCATCGGGCCGGTTTTAGGCTTCTCCTTCTTTTTACATTTGAGACATTAATCAATTAAGGTAATGGAAAAGATGCGCTACACTGGTGGAAACAACACGAGGCCAGGCTACCGCCGACTGTCAAGACCGGCTCGCATGGTGTTTCGCGCCACCACCTCCACAGCGAGCATGCCTTCAGCACAGCTGGAGTTAAAAGAAAGGACTCGATTAAAACTTGGGCTTCCCTGACTAAAGATTTTTCTAGTCGTTCATTTAAGACATTATTTGACTGATCGCAAGTTTATATTAATTTAATTATTTACATAGGCTAAACCCCTACGGTGGCCGAGAGACAGTGTTGCCAACTGCTTTCAATTGAAAGTAGCTAAAACTGGTAGCTAAATGTCACTAGATGACATCACAATGGTAAATTCACTGATCTATATAAAGATGAACGTAGATCAGTGGGCAAGATGAGAACTTAGATAAGGTTTGTCAAAGAAGTTGCTATATTTGTCCCTAAACTTTTGAAAAAAGTCTCAAAAGGGGCGAGGAAGTTGCTAAATCTAGCTACAAAGTAGCTAAATTAGCAACACTGCCGAGAGAGCTCAACGCACTGCAAATGAAAAAACACATGCAAATAGAAAAAAACACTTGCAAATTAAGAAAACATCTTCATCAATTTGACAACACACGCGCTGCAAATTCTTACAACACAACCAGATGCAGAAACGCGCTGCAAATTCTCACAACACAACCAAATACAGAAACGCGCTGCAAATTCTCACAACACAAACAAAGAAACGCACTTCCCTTAAACATTTCCGATGTGATCTGTGCATATTTGCAGCACGTTTCTGTTTTTGTTAGTTTTGTATTTGCAGCGCATTTCTTTGTTTGTGTTGTGAGGATTTGCAGCGCGTTTCTGTAGGCTATTTGTTTGTGTTGTGAGTCTTTGCAGTGTGTTTCTGCTTTTGTGTTGTGAGAATTTGCAGCGCGTGTGTCAAATTAATGAAGATGTTTTCTTAATTTGCAGGTGTTTTTTCATTTGCAGCGCATTGAGCTCTTTCGGCCACCGTATAAACCATTTTAATAGTATATTCGCGCTGAAACACATGCATAAATCTTTCCGTAAAGCTCCGCAAAAGTATTAATGACTATGAATGTTTCAAGAAACTAGCAAGGTCATATTTTAATTATTTGTTAATAAACTATTTTCTGAGTCCATGACGGCTGCAAAGAAGCTGACGATTCTGACTCGCCATCTCCACAGAAATTGATCAAACGTGGTAAACTCAATGTCGGCCGCTGCATGGCCGCTTGGTCGTCACTTAAAAAAACTAAAACTTGTGTTTAACAAACAAAAAATGCTCAATTTTTCAAAATTACCTTAATAAAGAAACGAAAAGAAATATAACCACTTTGTTAGGGCCTACATTTGAGGCCCGTGCAGGGCTTTACATTCAATGCACTTTGTGCTGTCTACACATGAACTATAAGATACTTATGAGAAAGATATTCCCAGTTTTTAGATGGATTATATAGTGCTGTCGTCAGCAGCACAGATCCGATATCATTCCAAATAGTCCTGTAATGGAATAAGAGGCTTCTCTCGCTCCAAGTACAAAGACTTGGGCATCTAGAGCTCACGCTCCAAGGCAACATCAGAAGACTTAAAGTGGATTCTCTCCTCGCCCTTCCCTTCCTCCGGACCCATCTGTAGCATCTAATAGACTCAAACTCCCCACAGACTCTGTGTTAAACAATTAACCAATGTGACAAGATATACAAGGACTGAAGTCAATGCTAAAACAAGTGCAGACTGTCCCACATCCAAGGATAAATGCTAATGAGATCTGAAGATTTCTCACCCCGGCTTTCTTTTTACCCCTCTCTCTTTTTGCTCCTATCTATGGCAGTGTGGTGCCACATTTTGTGTTTTAATTAGCTCTCACACTTTGTAATTGCCAGCCATTCTCCACAGAGTCAACAGACAGAGCTGTTCTCTGTGATAATGTAGGTTCTGTGTTTCCTGTTGGATTATTCATACGGGACTAATCTAGAGACCAGTCATGTCTCCCTACAGATGTTCAGTCGCTTTGAAAGAAAGTAGTCAGAGACATGGCTAAGTACGGCTGGCCTTCTTTTACCTTAATGGCTAGTTTATGTGCTCTGTTTTGTCTTTATAGAACAAAAAGGGATTGTTTGCTTGGTAGGGTTGATGTTTAAAGACTCTGCCTAACTTTAAGATGTCTTTAGGGATGCATTTTATGAGATACGAACTGACAGGGCACCAGACTAAAAAATGAGCCATCTAGGAGTAAAATAAAAATGATTGTTCAGAAGCACTTCAGTTCATTGAGTGCAGTTTATTTACCATTTAACAAAAGTCACAGCGTTCACAAAGTTCACAAAGTCACAAAGTTCAGCACGGATTATCTGGTAATGTGAGGCATTCACCGATCGAATCTTGCACCTCCCGATCTGCTCGCACACAAATCGGGGCCGCCCCGATCATATCAGACATGTTTGATATTTAGGATTTAAATCGGGATGATGACGGCTATATGATTACGTCAGTACTTTCACAATAGCCAATGCGCAAAACAGCTGCTGTACGGCAGCTGTATAATGTGTCGAAAACGTATCACAACTGTAAGGAGAAAAAGAAGCACTGGAGTGAAATCGCCTCAGTTTTGAATGTACTCGGTGAGTGTAGAAAGCAGCTAGCACACTAGCTAACATATGTAAACATCACTGAAATATCAATGACGATCTGCTGCGTGATATCACGTGAGGCGCTCCCTCAGCAATGATAATCTTAATAATATCTTGTAGTGTGTGATTCGCCACGATGTTAAAATCTTTTAGTGTGTGCATGTTTAAGATTTGAGGAAAGATAATCTGCAAAGATTCTCCTTATGTGTGTGCTGCAACCAGATTTCATAATCGGTTAAGATTTTAAAACTCCTGTAGTGTGAGCCCGGCTTTAAGTTTCCCTTAGATTCAACATTAAAATGAAACAATCATCACACCTTTTTAATATTTTAATGTTTTTAGAACAATTTTTATTTATATATTGTATTATTTAAACCAGCTAATTAATCAGACTCAGAATCAGAAAGAGCTTTATTGCCAAGTATGTTTGCACATACAAGGAATTTGTTCTGGAGACAGAAGCTTCCAATAAGCCTACACAGAGACAACAACAAAAACACACAGATAATAAAAAATAAAGATATGTGAAAAAAATACACATAGGCCTATGTGTGTGTACATTATACTGAGGTAATATGAAAAGAAAATGCCATCAGCACTTTCCTGGCCGAAATGTGAGTTTACAGGTATGATTTAAACACCATAAATTACATAAAATATTCATTATTAATCATCAGTAGATTGGAACAACACTTGGCAAGTTGGCATAAATGTGAGCTATTTGGTGATTGCTAGCTGCGTTTTTATTTTGAAACGTGCCGTGCTCACGCTTAATTAATTCAATCATAGCCAATTAATCATCAGTAGATTGGAACAACACTTGGCAAGTTGGCATAAATGTGAGCTATTTGGTGATTGCTAGCTGCGTTTTTATTTTGAAACGTGCCGTGCTCGCGCTTAATTAATTCAATCATAGCCGTTCAAAGTTTAATGATCACATTTAAACAATAGGATGATTCCTATTCTTCTATCCCCAGATTTGAGATTGAGACTCTGAAGCAGCATGTTGGAACACAGTGACTGAATCTAAAACCTTCAGTTGACACATCACACGCTGATTACGTTGATCACACGTTGATTACATCCACGCAAGTCACTGAACTCACACTGTATGACATTACAGAAAGTTGTCCGGTCAAGCTCCTTTCACACAGCAGTGTTGTGTTTCTTGTTGATCTGCACGTTAACATAAAGACATTGTGTGCT